TACTCAAGTAATTATATTTGTCACATAATTATTTCCTGTTTCAACAATTCTTACTTTAAAACAGAAATTGATGCTTAGGAGGTTTTATAAATTTTCCAAAACTGTGGAGCTTGTTAATGAAGTTGGGATTACGCTCTCGTAATGAAAAGTGTCTTTGTCTTAGTTTGTTCTGCTAGAACAAAATACCATAAACTAGGTGGCTTGAACAGACTTTTTTTTTTCCCCTGAAAGATTGTATTTATTTTAGATAGAGGAGGGAGAAAGAAGCAGAAAGAAACATCAATGTGTGGTTGCCTCTCGCGCGCCCCCCTACTGGGGACCTGGCCTGCAACCCAGGCATGTGCCCTGACTGGGAATTGAACCAGTGACCCTTTGGTTTGCAGGCTGGCCGTCAGTCCACTGAGACACACCAGCCTGGGCCACACATTTTTTTCTTAATGTTCTGGGAGCTGCAAAGTCCCAAGATCAAAGTGCTGGCAGATTTGGTTCCTGGTTAAGGTCTACATGACCTTTCCTTGATACATACACCTGGAGAGATGTATTTCTCTCCCTCTCTTGTAAGGATACTGTCCTCATGATGAGTGTCCTACCTTCATAATCTAATGTAAACCAATTACCTTCCTAAGGCCATACCTCCAGATACCACCGCACTGGGAATTAGGGCTTCAACATTCACACTCAGAGATGGAAACATTCAGCCCATAATAGGGATTTCTCTTATTCACTCAAATATTAAAACTTTAATATAATGGTATTAATCAGAGATGGGCTTCAAATTTGTTCAGAATCTTTATGCAGAAGGACATGTATTATAATTTGAATAAATGCAAAGGCATACTACATTTGGGGGCAGAATGACAATATCATGTCACTTCTCCCAAAATAAATGTATAAATTCAATACCAATTAGAATACCCAATGGTTTTTGTAATTTGAGAAAAATACCTTCATTTATGTGGAAGTAGGAATTAAAATTGTGAAAGACAGCAAGGGGACTTACTACGCAATATTAAAATACTACAATAAGGCTAATGTTAAACTGATGTGGTATTAGTATAGGAACTGAAAAAACGGATCGGTGAAAAAAAGAAATGTCTTGATATAAATGAAAGTACAAGGTAGTTTTCAGTTGAATGAGGAAAAGGTCATGTGGGTAAATTGATTTACATAGCAAAGATTCAGTTGAATATGGAAAGGATGCTATCAGTAAAGTGTTAAGAACAGGTCTTTTGCTCTGGCCCCTGACCAGGTAACTCACTTGGTTAGAGTGTCATCCTTATAAGCCCCATTTGTGGGTTCTATCTTGGGTCAGTGCACATGCAGGAGTCAACCAATGAGTGCATAGATGGGTGGAAAAACAAATTGATGTTTCCCCTCCACTCACCTTCCCACCTCTAAAATCATTAAAAAAAAAATCCACAATTTTTCCCACTGACCCAATTTTGGAAAGGTGACCTTACACTTACCTTTCTACCACAGCTTCTTTGAAGAAAATTACATTGTAAATCTCTCATTTGTAGCCTTTATCTGGACGGGGAGAGCTATGAACTGGCACGTGTACATTGACAGTCTTTGTGACTAAAGGCATTGTAAATCTTGGGGAAACTAAGGTAGTGGATTCCCTGTGCCTAAGTTGTTATCAGTCTTACAACTCAATGTGTGCCATGTGATGATGGCACACCATGCGTGTGTACCAGTGGATTATCATAAAATGTCCTGAATATTAATGTTTCCCAGTGCTGAGGTCCCAGAGGCTGTGCTTGCTTGAGCAGTCACATAACATACTGTGAAGGTGTTTTTGTGTCAGGACAAACCTGCCAATAAAACTAATTCAGGCTTGACACCTATTATGATTGCCAGTTTGAATCTGTGATTGCTGCTGGTGTCAAGAACTGTATGACTGGCTGTTGAACATATAAATTATTTTAATGAATTGTGCTTATACAACAGAAACCTACCTGGAAGAAAATAACAACCTCATTTTATATGACATTAAAAATTAAATTCTACATGGATTAAATATTTACATATGGAAAAAACCAATAAAGAGTTTGCATGGCAACCTAAGAAATAATATATATCATCTAGAGATTAAAAATATATTCCTAATTCATAAGCTTAAAAAATACATACGTGGTTACATAAAAATTTTCAAGTATTTTAATGGAAAAGTCATAACAAAATTAGACATTCCTAATATTTAATATATGAAGGTCTTCAAAATTGACAAAAAGATAACAAAATATAGGAAAATGGGTTAACGTCAAAATTTATAAAGAAGCAAATCTAGGAGCAGGTGAGGTTTATGCTCATCAGACAAGCACGAATTTGAGTAGTTTAATACCATCAATTGCATGGCTAGATGTCTTTATTTTGAAATTTATTGGGGTGAATTGGTTAAAAAATTGTTTCAAATGTACAGTTCTTTGATACATGATCTATATATATATTGCATTGTGTGCCCACCACCCAAAGTCAAATCTGCAGTCATACTTTTGATTCCCTTTACCCATAACTACCCACTCCTTCATCCTCCTCTCTCGTAACCACCATATAGGTGTCTGTCTTGTTATTTTCAGTTTTATATCCTATATATAAGTGAAATCATATGGCTCTTGACTTTTCTGACTTATTTCGCTTTGCAGATATTCTCAACATCCATCCATGTTGTCACAAATGGCAGTATTTCATCTTTTCTTATGACTGAGTAGTATTCCATTGCATATATGACATCCTCTTGTCTTTTTAAGACTCACAGTATCTATTAACATTTTAAAATGACATATATCCTTTGCCTTGTCTAGCAATCTCTTGCCTATAATCTACTCATCAGCAATCAAAATACCTAAAATATAAGGGCCAGTTACAAGGGTGTTTACTGTACTGTAGTTTGTGGTGGCAATAATTAGCAACAAGGTGAGTCAGTAGGGAGATGGTTGAATAAATTTACAGTAGATAACATCACAGATACTGTGCAACAATTGCTCGTTTTACTTTATCTGACCATTATAATTATTCTCGTTGCTGGGTCTTGGCACTGGCCACTTATAGGCAACAAAAAGTAGTCTTCCTAGTTTGGCCTGACTTGAGTTCCTAGTTCTTCTGGTGACTTCGAAGGTACACAGGCACAAAGGCAGAGCACTTAAGGATTATGAGAGAATGTTTACTGAAGAATGGAATAGAATTTAAATTCATATTGATATACATGTATGTTGTTTGGGTACATTACACCTCAGAAAATCAACCACTGGTATTTATCATCTTACCACAAGACTAACCTTCAAAAATGCTAATAACAAGAACTGCAGTGCTATAGGTGGATTAGTATTTTATTATTTTGAATTTAAAAGAAATAGATACATGTGAAAATCAATCTAAGGTTTAAATGTTGTACAGTCATTTTTATAACTATTTAAACAGCACTAACAGCTTTCTACATGTCAAGTTGTGAAAAGAGATCAACTATCCATTTCAAAAATCCTAAAAAAAGATTTGCTCCAAGTAAAATACCTGCTTAAGTCCATGTCTCTTTTCAGCACCTTTTCCCCCAAGAAGACAAATGGAGTAAGGGTGGCATTGATTATGTCTGGCAGAATAGAGAGAAAAAAAATAGTCTGAGGTTAAAATTGAGGCTGAAATGCCAGAGTGGATGTTTTATTCAGTGGCATGTTAAAAAATTTGAGTAACACGGTTTCCTCATTTTAAAGTCTAATTTCCATCACCAATACTGGTTATATGGGGTATTAAAATTTATGATGTTTCAGTGAAAATGTATTCTTTCTCCCAGGTCTGTGCATGTATTATTAAATGTAATCCTTAAACGTATGTGATTCAACCAGTCTATTGCAAAATCATGCTTAACTGCTGAACAGAAACTACACACAATAATGTGACATGTGAGAGTAAGTTTAATAATTGGTATCTGTTAAGTTACTATCACATTTTTTTCATAATTTTAGAAATATTTAAAATAAAATATTAGCATCTGACTGGGAATGTGAATCCATTTAAATATGTACTTCATGTACAGCTTCCCTACACCTATCTCTATCTTTTTTAATTTTCAGAAGTTTAAAGGAAATAGCACAGAAATAATTTAAGCACATGTACTGACACAGCCTAGAATTAACTAGCGTCTTGTTATGGTTACCTGAAGACTATTTCTTTTTAATAAGAGATATTTAGATAAAAAACTGAAATATTCTTTAGCTACTGTAGTGGATCCCACTTCCCTTCCTCTCCTTTCTAGAAGCAACCACTTTTGGGGACTGAGTGTGCATCCTTCCAATCCATTCTTCATAGTTTTACATAAAAATGTTAATCTATAACCAGTGCTTAATACGTGTTAGTTAGTGGTGATTTAATTCAAATTCACACAGGTATCATCATAATATATTTATCACTTTCACTTTTCTTCATTCATGACTTTTCAGATTATTTTCTTGTTAAAAGATATACATTAACTTGTATTTTACTACTGGAGAATATTCTACTGTGTGACTATATTTTTTTCAACCATTTCACAACAGACAGACATTTCCAATATTTTGCTAATACAATTCATGCTGCAATGAACATAAAGGTGTATGACTCCCTGGGTACATGTATCAGTTTCTTGGGTATATGTAAATATACTCAAAGGGAGTATTCTGGAATCATTTTAGAATTTCTTTCCTACTCCTAGCTTTTAAAAACATTCTATAAAATTCTTATATTACTGTTTTGCATTATAGTATTCAATATTATTGGACTTTATAATAAATACTTTAAGGTATATGATGACAGCAAATATTTTTCCATATGTAGAGTCAATTACCCTGAGACCATTTCTGACTCATGCATGATTTCCCTATCAACTTGTGATACATCTATCAATTACCAATTCCTCATAAAGGCATTCACATATTTCAGGATACAATATGTTTTTTAATGAATGAATCAAAAGCAAATAATTGATTATGCATATAGCAAAACATAACATGAATGACAGTTTTCTCTCAATTATAAATCTTTATACCTCTTGTATTTTTGTCTTAATGCATCAGGCACGCCTTCCAGAACCATGTTGATTGGTGCCCATGACTGGATCCTTACTTCAATGAGAATGTTCCTAAGAAATACAGCATTAAAATTATGCTTGTTGTGGGGGCTCTGGAGGTATAAGTTTTCATAACACCATACTTTTTACCTAATATCTCAGTATTTTAAGTTTGAATTGCTGAAGGATTCTTCACATTCATGTCACTTTATAGTAAGATTGACTTTTTAATGTGCAATAAAGTATGAATTCTGTTGAAGGTTTTCCTAAATTCAAGGCATTCATAGAGCTTTAATGAGTATGAATTCTCTGGTGTCTAATATAATGTGACTTCTGGCTGAAGGCTTTCCCACATTCACTACACTGATAAGGCTTTTCTCCAGTATGGATTCTCATATGAAGAGCAAGAGTTGAAAATTGAGAGAAGGCCTTCCCACATTCATTACAACCATAGGGCTTCTCACCTGTATGGCTTCTCATATGCACAGTAAGAGATGAGCTTTGACAGAAGGCTTTCCCACATATTTTACACTCATAAGGTTTATCACCTGTATGAATTCTCACATGTACAATAAGTGATGTAATTCGAGAAAAGGCTTTTCCACATTTATTACATTCATAGGGTTTCTCTCCGGTATGAATATTGTGATGTTTAATGAGATACTGCTTCTGCCTAAAGATTGTTCCACATTCATTACATTTATAGGGTTTCTCTCCAATATGAATTTTCTCATGCTCTGTGAGATTTGATTTGCCACTGAAGGCTTTCCCACATTCCTTACATACATAGGGTTTCTCTCCTGTATGACTTCTCTGATGTCTAATGAGGCTTGACTTTTGAATAAAAGCTTTCCCACACCCTTTACATTCATAAGGTTTCTCTCCAGTATGTATTCTTTGATGGATAATAAGGTTTTCCTTCTGGCTAAAGGCTTTTCCACACTCATTACATTTAAAGGGTTTCTTTCCACTATGAATATTCTGATGTTTAATGAGGTATTGCTTCTGGCTGAAGGCTCTTCCACATTGATTACATTCAAATGGTTTCTCAGCCATATGAATTTTCTGATGTTCAGTGAGATATGATTTGCCATTGAAGGCTTTCCCACATTCCTTACATGCATACAATTTTCTAGTATGACTTCTCTGGTGCTTTGTAAGACTTAGCATCTCAATAGAAGCTCTCCCACATTCATAAGGTTTCTCTTCAGTATGGTATTTCTGATGAGAAAGGAAGTTTCCCTTTTGGCTAAAGGCCTTTTCACATTTACTACATTTATATGGTTTCTTTCCTGTGTGACTTCTCAAATGTAGACTAAGAGATGAGACTCGAGAGAATACTTTACCACATTCATTACATTCATGTGATTTCTCTCCTGTATTCATTTTCTTATGCTCTATGAGGTTTTGCTTCAGACTAAAGGATTTTCCACATTCATTACACTCATAAGTTTTCTCTCTTGTATGAATTTGATCAGGCTGAAGGATATCTGATTCGGTCTGAAGGCTCTCCAACATTATCATGCAGATATTTTCTCCAATAAGACCTTTAGTATCTCTTGACGTGTCACAGATGAAAGCTTTTCCATATTCACTAAATTTACGTGGTTTTTCCTCCAATATCAATTCTCAAGTATCTCATGAAGTTGAATGTACAATGGAAATCTCTTCACATTCATTATCCTGAGATTAGGAGATTACAAAACAATGAAATATAGCATTCTCATTCATTCTTAATTTTTTCTTAGCTTCTCTCATATTTAAGTACATATTATGTTACAAGCTCTTTAAAATTGAGTCCCAAATACACAGTAGTCGTAAAAATCAATGTCTGTGATCAGATGAAATACTTTTGTTTCCTAGGTTTTCTGAGTTTTTCTTTAGCTTTCATGGAGAAGGATGAGACTTTACAAGACGTCTTTCATGATGTATCTTTATAAATTTCTCAGGTATCTTCTAAAAGGGAGTATAAAAAGATCATCATTGAAGAGTTAATAACTGTAAAATATTTAGTGCCTGGCATGTAAGTGAACATCCAATAAAGCAGCTATCATAAAAATTGGTAACATTAGTGAATTGTTCCATTATTATTAATTAAAAAATACACTATTATAAATAAACTATTTCAAACCTACCCTACCAGTATCAAAAAGAAAGTTCAAATACAAATGTCATTCATGGGTGCATGTAGGTTAAACTGCTTATATTGTAATCTTGCACAGTTCATAAATTAATAAAATAAAACATCTTTATGTGGCAGATGATAGGATGAAAGGACAAACACAAAATTAGGAAAGCCTAGAATGAAGGGATTTAAGAAAAATGAAATAGAAGAATTATTAAAGAGGATATGTAGTTAAATAAGATACAGCCATACCCTGCAGTCAACGATGAACTGCATATATGACTGTAGTTGTATAGGTCAGTGGTCCCCAGCCTTTTTTGCATGTGACTGGTTTTGTGGAAGACAATTTTCCCACAGACCTGAGTGGGGGGAATGGTTTTGGGGTGATTCAAGCACATTACATGCAAGTTCTCCTGCTGTGTGGACCGGTTCCTAACAGGCCTAGACTGGTACTGGTCTGTAGCTTGGAGGTTGGGGACCCCTGCTATAGGTTATATAATGTAACTTAGGTGTGTAAAAGGCTATATATCTAGGTTTATATACGTACACTTTATGGTATCTGTACAATGATAAAATCACCTGAAGCATTTCTCAGACTGTATCTCCATTGGTAAGTGGCACATGACTGTATGTATTTCTACATGTTCCTTGTACTCCATTAAAATGATAGTAAGGGGGTGAAACACATACTCATAAAAACTAAAAGGTTGAGGAGTAATCAGTGGATGAAAAGTATTAAGAAATTTTGAAAGGAAGACAAAGGACTGTTAATTAACTGCAGAACTGAGTGGCTTAAATAAAATGCCAGCAGATGAGGATGACACTTAAAGGTAAGGTAATTTAGTCCTGGTGGGGTGGTTCAGTTGGTTGGAGCATGTCCCATGCACCGAAAAAAAAAACAACAAAAAGCAACCCTGTAGGTTCGATGCCCAGTCAGAGCACATACCTAGATTGCAGGTTCAATCCCCAGTGGTGGTGTGTATGGAAGACAACTGATTGATGTTCCTCTCTCACAATGATGTTCCTCTCTCTCTCTCAAAATCAGTAAATATATCCTATACCCTCAGGTGAGGATTAAAAAATAATAAATAAATAATTAATTAAAAGTAAGATAATTGTAATACAGCTGTCAACAGAAAGGCTCTATAACTAGAGAAACTGGGTGAGGGTTAAATAAAATGGTTATAAAAAGAGCAGCTGATGCACCCAATTCCTAGCTGGAAGGAAATAGGAATTTTTTATCCAGAAAAAATATAATGAAGTCTCCAAATTTAGTAATGACAGGCAAAGTACGTAAGAGTATCATACTGAAAAGAAAGGGATGAGTAAAAGTTTTTATATAGAAGGGGGTCCCAACCTCTTTCTAGTGCTGAACTTCGTAAGTGCTGATGGTTGCCAGGTATCATGTAACAGAAAGGTTCTTTTCAGAAAAAATGAGATCTTGAGAACACCTACAGATACTGACATTTGGAGTCATATAAAGGAAACACCTAGATATCTTACTTAAATGTTGTACAGTGAAGCCCACCTTTTCACAAGTGCTACCCATGCAAACAAAGATTCCAATAATCTTTCTGGTCCTAGTGTTCATAGTAATGTAGAGCTGAAGATCACAAAAACTGATGAAAGCCCTAACATGAAAGGTAGATGAAAACAAAAAAGAAAAAAACAAGGCAAGAAACAGAACACACACATTCAAATGATCCAACACTATAATTAGTATCACAGAAAACTAAGAGATTATATACCAATGAAATATTAACAGTTCTATAAAGAAGTTCTTTAGGAAATAATATGCTATTGACCTTAAAAATTCAATAGAATAAAAAAAAAAAAAATTCCAGGACATCTCCCAGATAAAATAAGGAAGAATATAAGGAAGGAGGGGAGAAATAAAAAGGGAGTAATGATCACCTTGGCCAGGTGGCTTGGTTGGAGCACAAAAGGTTGTGGGCACACACCTAGGTTGTAGGTTCAGTCCAGGCTGGGGCACCTACAGGAGGCAACCGATGGATGTTTCTCTCTCTCTCGCTCTCTCTCTCGAAAAAAAAAAAAAAATCAATAAAAATCCTGGTGAGTATTAAAAAAAAAAGTAATGATTGGAAAATTAGTGTATTTGTGGAAGAATTCAAGAATTCAACATCTGCTAAAGGAATTCCAGAAAAAATATGAAAAGTAAATACAGGAAATTTTATGAACCACATCTTTCATATCAGCATGTTGATAATGTTTAAAATTCATTAAATAAAAATAGGTAAAAGTCATATAAAAGTAAGAATAACCAGTAACCACAATTAAGTAAGTGTAAGTGGTTACCTCTGGGTTAGTGTAGGAACATGTAGGTGAGGAAGGATGAAGCAAGAATAGCTATGCTATAATCCTATTTGACCTTTAAAAATTTAGAAGCCCCTATTCATTATAACTACAGAGATGACCTTGAAGACATCAGCCTTTTAAAAAAATTTTTACTTTTTAATTTTATAGACAGTGGGAAGCAGAGAGAGACAGAGTGTGAAAAAGAAAGAGCAAGAAAGAGAAAAATATTAACTCATTGCTCCATCCATTTATGCATTCATTAGTTGATTCTTGTATGGAACCTGTAGCCTCTGGACATGGGGACAACAGTCCAACCAACTGAGCTCCATGGCCAGGGCCAACTTAGGCCTTTTACCTTGATCTATAGACAGTGCTCTTTTTATCTAGCTGCAATTGAGTTTCACTTGGGCTAAAAAGCAAAATACACACATAGTTAATACAGAAAAAGAAAATAGGCCAGAAAACAGCCATCTTAGCTTTCCAGTCATGCTGCAGTGTTTTTGCTTATTGATACTATCATTTTTGGATACAGAAGCTGTCACTGACATCAATTTCAGTTTTCACTTATTTTTCTTCTTTGAATATGCCTGATACACTGGCACCAAAGCTCTTCTCTTATAAAGAATCTTTTTCTTGGCCTCTCTCTAAATCCTTTCTTTTATAATTGTCTTCTATCCTCTAACTGGAAAATTTCAACTTTATCCTGATCTATACCTCTCAAAATTTTATGCTCATTTTCTGATAAACCATTCAAGAACCAACTCTGCTGTCACTTAATCAATTCTATAGTTTCCATAATTAGGAAAAAACCTCAATATGTATTAACGCTATTAAAATAAAAATGGTAAAGTAGACTTCATCAAAATTAAAAACTAATGTCCTTTTAAAAACAAAAAGGAAAGCCACAGACTGGGAAAAACTCTTAAGGGTTCGTACCCAAAATATATAGGACACTTGAAACTCAATTAAAAAATAAATCTAATTTTTAAATAGGCAAAGGACTAAAATACATATTTACAAAATAATATATATGAATGGCCAATAAGCATATTAAATAAAGTTTATCTTTACTAGTAATCAGGAAAAAGCATATGAAAACCCCAGTGTGGTAAGTACTACACACACCCTTTAAAATGGCTAAAGTTAAAAGGACTGCCAATCCAAGTATAATAGCATAAAGCCACTGTAACTCATACATTGTTGGTGGGAATGAAAAATGGTACAATTTGGAAAACAGAATATTTTATAAAGATAAATACACCAGTACATTTACAATTCTACTCAGCAATCCCATTCCTAGGCCTTTATTCAAGAAAAATTAATACAGATGTTCACAAAGACTAGTATGTGAATATTCATAGCAGCATTATTCATAATAGTCAAAAATAAAAAAAAATATTCAAATGTCTGTTAACTGGTGAATAGACAAAGTATGTCCATACTATGTAATACATAAAAAGAAATATTAGCTCTGGCTGGTGTGGCTCAGTGGACTGAGTGCTGGCCTGCGAACCAAAGGGTCACTAGTTCGATACCCAGTCTGGGCACATGCCTGGGTTGTGGGCCAGGTCAGGTCCTCAGTAAGGGGTGAGCAAGAGGTAATCACAAGTTGATGTTTCTCTCCCTCTCTTTCTCCCTATCTTCCCCTGTCTGAAATAAATACAATCGTCAAAAGAAAAAAAAAAAAAGAAATACGCTTTAGAAAAAATAAATATTGATATATGCAACATGAATTAAAATCAAAATGTAAAACTAAGTCAAAGAAATTAAATGCAAAATATTATGCATTGTATGACTATATTTATATTAAACTCTAGAAAAGGCAAAGCTATAGTGACATAAAGCAGATTAATCTCACCAGGGATAGGGAGGGTGTGTGGCTCAACTGCCTAAGGAACTGTTCTATATCTTGAATTTTGGTGTGGGTTAAATGACTATATGATTATCCCTTGGTATCCCTCCCTGCCACCTCTCCCACCATGGATACCAAAATTCTTGGATGCTCAAGGCTCAAGTACCTTGTATAAAATAGCATACTATTTGCATATAACCTACCCACGTCCTCCCATATACTTAAATCATTTCTAGATTACTTATAATACCTAATACAATGCGAATGCTATGCAAACAGTTTCTATACTGAATTGTTTAGGGAATAGTGACAAGAAAAAAAGTCTGTACATGTTCAGTGCAGATGCAACCACTGTAAGCCTAATTATAGACATACCTCGAACACATTGCTGGTTTAGTTCCAGACAACTGCAATAAAGTAAATATCACAATAAAGCGAGTCACACAAGTTATTTCCCAGTACATAAAATCAAAGCACAATAAAACAAGGCACACCTGTACATGGTACACATCAGGAACAACATTTTTTTTACTAAATATTTTTGATTCAAGGTTGGCTGAATCCTTGGATGTGGAAACCAGATATGAAGAGCCAACTGTATACAATTACCAAAATTTATCACATACTTAAAGAGGGTGACTTTTATTTTATATAAGTTTACCTCAGTAAAGCTGAAAAAATAAATCCACACTGAAGGTCTACAACATTATAAATTGTTTAATAATTACCTTGATTGTGTTGAAGACCTGCTGCAGGCAAGAAGGTAAAATACTGGCCTTTCTGCTGATGGCTTTAATGTATGTCTTAGACGCCAAAGTGAAAAATACAAATAAAAGAGAGTATATACTTTGAATCCAAGTTTCTTGTAAACTACAATATGACATGGAGAGATTGGAAAGCTGAGAACAGTAAAGATATTTTAATTAAAATGAAGCTCAAGATTAAACAATAAACAATGTAGATAGATGTATCACTGCACAATTAAAGGAAAAGATACAAAGAATTTCATATACATGAAGGGGGAGGTAAAAACGATGCAACTGATCCTATTTCAAGCTGCAATAATAACCACAATCACCAAGTATGTGGTGAGAAGAGGGAGACTGAAAATATACCCATGCATAAAATATACATCACCCATAGTGGAGAGTAAATATTGTCTAAAGAAATCAAGGACAAACTAAGAAAGTTATGGATGCAAAGACAATTAAGAGAAAGGAAAAACACACTTTCCAAATTTTTAGAAGGATGGACATATGTACTCAAAGCAAAGATTAACATCTTACAGTAAAAGATAAAAAGGAGATAAAATTTAAAATAATGTATAGTATTAAATAAGACAACAATGCCAGCCATATTGTTTCTGTCAATATATGCAAGTAAAATAAACGTAACTATTAAAACAATGGGATTATGATAATAGGCTCCTACAAAAAATTCTCAGGCCCTTACCCAGAACACCTAGATCAGAAAATGTGTGCGTGGGGCCCAGCAATCTATATTTAACAAGCCCTCCTGGTTATTTTGATGCATGCTAAATTTTAACACTTATTTAGTAAAACCCATCTAAACTTTATATATGCAGATATGCATCTAAAACAATTTGTACCATAAGTGCTGAAAATAAAGAATAAAAATAAAATAAAGAAGATAATCATGAATATATAAACTACAGAAATCCAAGATTGAAACACATTTATAGCAGAGACTACCCCATAAATTATGTAAATATATAAAAAATAGGAAAATAAAATATATACTAATTTATAACATACACCTAATCATTTTATTCTGTATCTTGAAAATAGATAGTAGACCATCTTTTTAAATGCTCAAAAGAACAATTCCCAAATCCAGTCCAAATAATAGTCATATAAAACCTCAAATATTCCACAAACTAGAAAAGGGAGAGAAAAAAATACTATGACAACCCCCCCCAAAAAAACCCCTTAAATTAGAAAAACAAAATCTTTCATTTGAAAATTCAAAATTTGATGACTTGAACTAACTCTTTGGTCAAAGAGAAAATTAAAATAAATTGCAGAATATTCAGAAGTATTGGTCAGGAAACAATGTATATCAGAACCCATAAAACACATTTGAAAAAAATGCTTATAGAAGTTTTAGCATAAGTGTTTATATTATTTTTAAAAGAAATAAGTAATAAAGTAAGCATTCAAATTAAGGAATTACAAAAAAGTAAACAATAAAACAGACACATTAGTAAAGATAAAATAAGTTAATATATTACAAACAAAAAAATAGAAATAAATTCATGAGTTGATTCTTAGGGAAAAACAAGGGAATAAAAGCAAAATTATAGAAGTAAAAAAAGACTTTGACTATTTGAAAATAGTCATAGATTGAAAATAAGGAAGAAAATAAGGTAGAAATTGTCTTGCTTAACCCTATGACAACAAATTTGAAAACCAAGCAAATACAACCTATGAAAACTGAAACCACAAAAGACAGAAACTCTAAACAGAAAAATAAACATAGAAAAAAAAATAGACAATCGTTAAGATGTTTCATCACCCCAAAGCCCACAGCACAGATGGCTAAAAGGCATGTAGATTTTAAACTTTTATCAAATTACAGTAATACTATTTATTTAAAATTTTCCAATTGATTCCTTATTAAATTTGCAAAAGCACAATATACAACACATTGGGGCTTAAGGTATTAAATTCCTAATAAGCCACAAAAATTACACCTCCTTCATAATTAAAGTCCCTCATATTTTTATAAGATTTACATCAACATCCTTCAAACATACTTATCAGAATCGAATTTTCATACTATAATATGAAAGTCAAACTGAACTAGGCAGCATCATCTGAACACAAGGCAGAAAGGTCCTTCCAAGAGAATTTGCCTTGTGGCTCAAAAATATTTTCAAAATATAAATCAAAATGCTCTAATATCAAGCAAACTATTTTTGTGCTATAATCCCTGAGTTGAGTACCTGCAATAGAGATACTATGGCCCACAAAGTCTAAAAAATTTACTATCTGGCTCTTTACAAAAAGTAGTGAATCACCACTAGAGTAGTGATTCCTTCCTCCTCTACCTGATTGGAAGTAAAATATATTGTTGCTCCAGTTCCAACCACAACTAAATAATAAAGAGACAACTTGGAAAAAATCTGGATCCTCAAACCACCACAAAGACCAAAGCTACCATGCAAATGACTATTCACCACGTAACTGTTACGTGACCAAGACAGGACTTGGAAGTCATTGTTGAGGGTCAAAGCAGCACCCCAGATTTCAGGCTGAGTCCTTAGGACTATCAGGGACTTTAAAGAACAAGGAAAGTACAGCTCCTGGGGATGCACAAGGAAGCTGGCCTATGAAAAAGATCAAAGTGACGATGACCCTTTGCCTTAGAAACTGTCAACATGCATATGACAGTGAACCCAAAAAGCCAGGTATTTTAAAAAAATTGTGTATTTGTTCTAACATGTTTAAACCTCAGTCACTTTCAAAGTACTCTCCATTTGATGCAATATACCTATCAAGACTTTTTTCCACTGCTCTAAACAGTTTTTGAACTCATTAATTTTGATGCCTTTTAGTGCTTCTGCAGTTTGTTTCGCCTCCTCCACATTGGCAAAATGTTTCCCTTCAAGGACTTTTCTGATCTGGAGAAACAAAAAAAAAGTTGCTTGGGGGCAAGATAGGGTGAATATGGAAGGTGGGGCATTGGGGTCATGCAGTTTTGGGGCAAAAACTGCTGAACACTCAGCGTGGTTGGTGTGGGTAGGTGCTTTCGTAAATCACCCATCATGAAATGCGCAAATGTCTTGAACAAGTCTTTAAAAAAAATTCATTGAAGCCAAACAGTCTCTTACAACAATACCAGCTGGTACACTGATATAGACACTCACCTAGCAGGGGAAGCTTGTACTACAAGTGGCCCGCCCTCCAGAAGAAAATTCGTTTTTAGGGGGCACCCCCTCATACATATGAGTACATGGAAAAAAATATTTGTACTTTGCATCTGAGGCCAAATCCATCATACAATTTAAAGGCTGCACACTCATTTCAGGAATGGGACAGAGAAGGTAACTTATTTTCATAATTTAGGTTATACAGAGAAAATACAAAACTGAGTTTCCAGAGTTCTCCAGAATCACAACCTATGTAGGTACTTTCAAGCAGGTGTCACTTGTGGTCTTCCTCCTTATTGAACAGTCTCAGTTTTGAATATAATTTTCTCCCGTAACAACTTTTGTCATAAGCGTGAAGTCACCAACCTTGAGTGATATGAATAAAATGTAAAGGAAGTTATTCTTGTATTGTTCATGGCTCAGAGTTCTTAAAATTTTTACAAATCCTTGGGAGAAATTAAATATTATAAGTGTCCTACAATTATATGGTCATTCATTGACTTAGGACACATATATATTTATTATTTATTACGTGTGATAAATAGAGCTGAGTCTCCAATTTTTAATGGGGCGTGACAGATAAAAGGGACAAATTTACCCAGAAGCTATTCCATTACTTGGATGTAAGATTAGCATCTGATTAGATAGTGTTATGAGTTGATGTAACAGGTAATGCAGAAGGTGTAATGGATGGAGGCAAACTGTAGAAGGAAGGAGTTATGACATTTTGGACATAGTTTCAAGTTCCTGGGCAACCTCCCGGGGGACTGTCCTTCAGGCACCTGGATGTGTGGATGAGCAGCTTAGGACAAGTCTCAGACAGGAATGAACATGTTATTCATTTGTTAACTGAAGCCATAATGGAATGCTATTGCTCATAGAGTTCTTCTAGGTGAAAGCTCAGTAATACTAATAGTTAAAGGACAAAGAGAAATATAAGTCACTAAGGGAGCTGTGGGGGAGGGTTTGCTCCTTGATTTTGACTGGAATTATAAAAATGAGAGTAGTATGAAAGTCAAGGAAACATTCAAGGATGAGGCAACGATAAACACCTAAAAAGCAATGAAGAAGCTAACACAGAAATCTAATTCCTCTACCCCAGTTAAAAATGGAAATACACAAAGAAAGGCAAGCAAAAAAATGTGATTCTTACCCCTGCCCCAGCTGCTGCATCTCCCTCCCCAACAACAGTCTTTATTTTAGGTGTAAACCTCAAAGGTTTCTTCATGCAACTACAAATATACATTCTTATCTCCATTTACTTAAAAAAGCAGTATATTACACCAAACATTGTGTACCTTGCTTTCTTCACATAACAAAATACTTTGCAGTTTTAAAATCTATCTAAAATATGATATATATTTCCATTTGCTCAGGTCTTCTTTTGAGCCCTTCATTAACATTTAAAAACAATCTTAATATAGGCTTTAAAACATTTCTTCTTTATTCCTAGGTGTTTTATCTGATTTGTTGCTTTTGTAAACAAAGTACCATCTTTTCTACAACTGATTATTTTTTTGTATATATCAAAGCTATTATTTTTGTATATGAATTTTTGTAGTGTGGTCCTTTATTTTTTCATTTTGAAAAATATGTTGCATGATAAAACACTGGAATAAAGTATCTTTTTAGATAGAAGAATATTTGTTTCACTACGTTTACAAAGGCCATATGGTCTGAGTAAAACCCGGTCAAATTAGGAGTCAGAATGCCATACTGATTTACAAACTGGATAGTTTTTAATCGTTTACCTGATCTCTCTGCACAAAAAGGACTTGTAATTCTGTGTTGTCTGCACAAGTGGAAATTACCTCTTAAATCTATTCCTTAGTCCAGGGCTTTTCAAGCCAGCCTCAGCAAAGTTCTTTCAAAGAATTAAGTCAATACCTACGGAGGAGTCTAGACACTCAATAAAGTTTTTCGAGAATCTTTCCTTTAAAAAAAATTGCTGATTTCGTTTCTACAACTAGCTAGCTTTTATGTAAAATCGTTTTAAAAATTACTAAATTTTAAGCCTAAAAAATTGAGCCTAAAATCACTTAATTGCTTAGCTTTCTTTTATCTTTCAGAAACTGATGCTTCAGAAAGATGTATTCTTACGATCACTATTTTAGAAATGGAAAAGGTGAGGTTTAGAGGTTACTACCCCACAAAACTCACATGCCATTCGCCCTAACAAACGTGGAACAACAGTGTCTCACACAGGTTGTAACTCTGCAACCCTCTCACACCTCCTTACACCCAGTCACCCACCCGCGAGTCCGCCCCAGTTTCCTCTTGTACCCCTGCCCCTCCACATAAGCTTTGAACCTTACACTTCACAGGAGACGATTCCTCCCCCTCAGCCTCTCCAACCCCGTCGCAGACACCACGAATCATCCCCTACAGCCTCCGAGCAATTTACTGAGCCTAGAAACGCAGGTCCCACGGCCAGATTTGCGTTTGGCAGAGCCTAAATCAAACTCACCAGCAAACAAAGACTTCGATGGCTAGCCTGGAAGTCTGCGCCTGCGCTTTGCTTGGGCTGGTTAGCACTCCCAGCGGTCTCCTGGGCTCCGCCAAGCCCGGGCTCAGTACAAGATGAATTAGTCGTTGTTGGCCGATCTTCCACTTTTCTGACTGTGGACTACATTTTCCAGAAGTTTCAGTGGCTCCAGTCTCGGAACTCAGTTAACTTTCTGTGTTAACTCTGCCTCTGGGAGAGGGCAGTGATGTGCCTTGGCTTTTTATAAGCTCAACGCAAGCACCCAGGGCTAACCACGTAAGAGCCAAAATCGAGGCAACACCGGAAGCACCAGAAGACTTGTGGGTGCGGTTCTCTGCTTTCTTTGGCCAGGTTCAAGCCCAACGCCATCTAGTGTATCGCGAGGGCTTTGCGGAACTACAGTTCCCAGATGGCGCCACGCCTGCCGCTCCCCGCCACCACCAGGAGGTGGATGTTTGTGCAAGGCCTGAACTGGACCCGGGTAGTGGTACCTGAGTGGTTCCGCTTGGTCGCTGACGCGATTCGGGGGAGACAGAAGGTTAAACGTTTAGAGGCAAGGAGGGCGACTAAAGTCTGTTCGGGCGGAACGAGCTGAGAAGGGATGATTGTAAAATTGTGACTGTGTCCCAATAATGTGTTTGTGGTTTTGACTGTATGTGATACTTTGTGTGCGGAGGTGAGGAGCTTTGGCTTGGTGTGGCTGTGATTCCCCATAGTATGATTGTTAATATTTGACGGTGTGAACACTGTGGGGATTTGGGTTACCTGTGACTTTATCTTTGTGGTGGGTGTGTGATTGTGAATATGTGACCGTGTATACCTCTTTACGTGCAGTTATAGAGAGCTCTGTGGCTGTTCTTTGAGACCCTGTGGGGATTGTAACTCAGCAGCACTGTGTGGGCAGGGGAGGGAGAATGTTTGTGACTGCGGGTGTTACTTGGTGTCAAATGATGCGCGTATGACTCAGCAGTGTATGTGTGGATATGGGGAGACTGTACATTTCTATTGCTGAGAGTGTGTCATATAGTCATATGTGGGTGCACAGGACGGCTCTGCCCTTGGACAGTAAAGACTATGTTACTGAGTTTGAGTTGGAAGCCAGGGCTCCTCTGGTGGGGGAAGGGAAAGAGGGGCATCCGAGCCCCCAAACAGGTCTGTTTTCTGGCTCCTCATTTCTATCCTCCCAGTGAGCTCTTCAGATGAGGAGGAAATAATAATTGTGATATCTAAAAGGCATGTTTAAAGTGCCTTGGTATTTTCTCTGTTTCCAAAATATATTTTTCCGGACATGATTTTCTTTCTTTCTTGATATATGCTTAATAAAGACCCATCAAGTGACCTGGAACGTACTGTTTGTTTTTGGAAATATCTTCCTTGCAATTCCTAATCTTTTTATTAATATGGCAAGTCATTCAGTTTATCTTATGTGCTGAGTATTTTGGTTTTACATGTGTACACAAATAAAAACATGTACATACACTTCTGTGTACATATATACATATAGTTTTATATTTTCATTTAAGTGATATTTTAACTTCTTACATAATTGAAGGATCTTTAAGAATGCTTTTTATATTAGATACTGTTAGTTGTTTTGTCACATGTCACTAGCCCATTATTCATTCTCTCACTTTTCAAAAATTAAATTTATTGGGGTCTTATTGGTTAATAAGAGTATATATTTAGGTTTCAAGTGAACATTTCTATGATCTTTATATTGCATTGTGTGCCCACCATGCAAAGTCAAATCATCTTCTGTCACCATATTTGACGTCCTTACCCTTTACTACCCCCTCACCCACCTCTCCTCAGATAACCACAATACTGTTGTTTGTCTATGAGTTTTTGTTTTTCTTGTTTGTTCATTTGTTTTCAGTTTTCTATCCCACTTATGAGTGAAATCGTAGGGTTCTTTCTCTTATTTTGCTTACCATGATATTCTCAAGCTCTGTCCATGTTGTTGCAAATGTATTTCAGTAGTATTCCATTGTACGGGGGCGGGGGGAGCAAAAGTAGGTTTACAGATATGAGTGCGTGAAACAGAGTTAATAAAGCAATGTCACAACTGTAAATCTACATTTGCTCCAACCCCTGATGTACCACATCTTTATCCAGTCATCTATGGAAGTACACTTTGGTTGTTTCCATGTCTTGGCCACTGTAAATAATGCTGAAACAAACACAGGCATGCATGTATTTTTGTGAATAAATGTTTTTAAAATTTTCAGGCAGATACCCAGAAGAGAGATTGCTGGGTCATGTGGTAGGTAACTCTATGCTTAATTTGAGGAACCTCCATACTGTTTTCCCTAGTGGCTGTACCAGTTTACATTCCCACCAGCAGTGAAGGAGGGTTCCTTTTTATTTCACAACCTTTCCAACACTTGTTATTACTTGTCTGGTTGATAATAGCCATTTTAACAGGTGTAAGGTGGTACCTCATTGTAGTTTTGCTTTGCATTTCACTAAGAGCTAGTGAAGCTGAACACATTCAAATATATGTTGGGCATTTGTATGTTTTCTTGAGAGAAGTGTCTGTTTAGGTCCTCTGCCCATTTTTTATTTAAAACAGGAGAAAATCAAAATTTTAATACATGTGCATGGGGAATTTCCATAAGCATGAAAATTTCAAAGAATGAGGCAACACTAGGTATATGTAAGATTTTGGAAAGAGGAGAAAAAATGGGGCCAGGAAACGGGGTCTTAGATATCAGGAGTGAGAATAAGCAATTTGCAGGTAGCTGAGGAAGAGCATAACACACAAGCAGGCAAATTCTTACTAGGTGACTCGGGAACAGTGGGACACAGTGGGAATCTAGTAAATATGCTTGTGCTTGCTTTTAGCTTCCTCTCTAATACGAAGGTGATTATGTTAAGGTTCACTTCCTGAAGCGGGTTTTTTCCATCTGAATCTCTTAGGCAGGAAAGGAGAAAGAGCCACAGGTTCTTTTTGAATCTTTTGTTTCTTAATAACTAGCTAAAAATCAAAGGCAGCTTTAGGTTGGCAAAACTTTGTCCCCCTTTATTATCTAGAAATTGGAACTAGCTACTACTGTTCACCTGGGTCCAAAGGTAGAAAGCCACCACTTTCTAAGATGGCCATGTCCTTGCTGTGGCCAAATGCATTTGACCCTATTACTTGAGAATGTGTGTTCTTATGCACAGGAATGTTTATGTGTTGGGACTTTTCACTGTTGTTGGCTTCTTGAGGTTCCTGTCAGTGAATAATAGGTCCTGATAGTCAAAAAGACTATGCTTTTAAATTTTTGAACAGTGATGAGAAATGAAAGTCCCAGTTGCCTGGACCAACCATCATTTCTGTTCATGATTTCCAGGGCCATGAATTGATTCTTGCCTTAGGACCCATCTCTGCAGAGCAGAGGGAGCAGCCAGCCATCCTCAGGTCACCCAAAAATGATCTCTTTATGGGTGTGTGTAGGGTGGAGAGATCACAAAACAATGTTTTGGGGACTGTGACAGAACTAAAAATTACTTTGGTCCTCAGCTCTGAATGCAGCACCTATTTGTATTTTTGTGTCTTTCCTAATCTTTGTGCACAAGCAGATGTATTTTTATATTGTTTTAGTTTTCACCGTATAGATGCACATCTAAACTAATAATATTTTTTAAATAAATAATAAAACTTAAAATTTCCCATTAGGTATGTACTTATTATAAAACATTTAAAAATATAGAAAAGTATTGTATTATATATTTATTTATTATATTACCTAGACAAGACCTGGTAACATTTTAGTGTTACTTCTTCAAACTTTTAACACATGCATTTCTTCCTACATAATTTGATCAAATTGTATATATAACTTTGCTTTCTGCTTTTTTATTTCACATGATTTTAAGTATCTAGTTATTTTAAACCTGTGATAAGTATCTTTTAAATAGTTACATTATATAGTACATTAACAGGTTGTAATTTGTTTTCTCATTCTCTTATTAGAAGATAATGTTCCCTACTTCTTGCTATTATAATGCTGCAAAACGGCATGATAATCGTAAATTCAAATTTTTTGTGTGTGTCCAGCATAATTGCCTTACTCTTTCTAAAGATAACTTTGTGTGATCAAAGTAAATGAAAGAATTTGCTGCCTTTCCTAAGTATTGTATTAATATAGAGTCTTACCTCCTTGCAAGTCAATCATCTTTCTCATCTTTTGGTCTCTTAGTATGGAATCATTGTATTTTATTTATATATTTTTATTGAATTTATTGGGATGACATTGGTTAATAAAATTATATACATTTCAGGTGTATAATTCTATTAAGACATCATCAGTATATTGTATTGTGTGTTCACCACCTTAGGTCAACTCTCCTGTTAACATTATTTCCCCTTTACCATCTTCTACCTCCCCCCATCCTCCTTTCCCTCTGCTAAGCAACATACTCTTGTCTGTGTCTACGAGTTTCTTCTCTCCTTTGCTTAATCCCTTCACCCTTTTCACCAAGCCCTTTGTTCCGGTCCTCTTTCCATTTTTAAATTGGATTATTTGTTTGGTGTTGAGTTGTATGAATTCTTATATATTTTGGACATTAACCCCTTGTTGGAGCAGATGTTTGCAAATATCTCCTCCCATTAGGTTGGTTGCCTTTTTATGTTGTTGGCAGTTTCTTTTGCTGTACCAAAACTTTTTAGTTTGATATAGTTCCATTCATTTATTTTTGCCTTTACTTCCCTTGACTTTGGGGTCAAATTCATAAAATCTTCTCTGAGACCATAGTACCTATGTTTTCTTCTATGTAATTTATTGTTTCAGGTCTTATAGTTAGTTCTTTGAACCATTTTGAGTTACTTTCTGCATATGGTGACCAATGACAATCTAGTTTCATTCTTTTCCATGTGGCTTTCCAATTTTCTCAGCAACATTTATTCAACAGGCTTAAAAAAATAGATTGTATTTATTTATTTTTACCGAGAGGGGCAGGGATGGAAAAAGAGGGAGAAAACATCGATGGAGAGCAACATAGATTTGTTTCCTCTCAAATGCCCCTAACCAGGGACCTGGCCTGCTACACAAGCATGTGCCCTGCCTAGGAATCAAACAGGTGACCTTTCATTTTGTAGGATGATGTCCAACCCACTAAGCCATGCCAGTCAGGGCTGAACAGGCTTTTTTATTTTTTCTCCATTGCATATTTTGGCACTGCTGTCAATAATTATTTACCCATAGACATGCGGGTTTATTCCTGGCCTCTTAATTCTGTTCCATTTGTCAGTGTCTCTCTCTCTTTTTTGTAAATACTATGCTGTTTTTCTTATTGTCACTTTGTAGTATAATTTGAA